AGGAGGAAATGGAGGAGGAAAGGGGAGGAGGAAAAAAAAGAAAAGAGGGGGAATCTTCTGCCACGCTGAAGAAAATTTTGAGCGCCCGCCTTTAAACCCTGAAGTTGTGCGCGTCCCCTTGCCTGTCCCGGTTCCAACGGATAAGCGAGCCCAAAAGCCAACTTACAGTGACGCATTGAAGAAGACGACGAATGGAGTGAAAGAAAAACACAGAGAACGTCGGCCACATGGAGACGCACCTGAGACAGCCAGAGGAATTCCATCAACTATGCAATTACTGAAATCAGCCCATACCACTCAGACGACCATCCGACAACCTATGTCGGTATCATCAGCTCCAAGGCGCAAACGACAAGAGCAGGCTGGTGACCTTGGTAGCGTCCTTATTCCTATGCTTTTTGCTGCGTTAAGGGCCATCATAAAAGCGATCCCTGATTCAGACAACCTACCAGAAGTGCAAGCCCTGCTTGCAATGGAATCCTTTTTGAAAGTAGGACCCTTCCACCGCTAGGAGCGGATGGCCTCGGCTCAAAGTCACAACTTCAAGAAACGTACAAACGATAAACCCGAAATTCCAAGAATACTACAGTGGAACGCTTGCAGCCTAAATCCCCGCCTTCCAGATCTTCAGAGGTATCTACTCTCCACTAGGATTGATATACTGGCGATTCAGGAACCTAACAACGATCCATCCAACTGCCGCCTGTCGCCCTACGTAGCCTATTACAGTTCTACAAAAAGGAAGGACTGCAAGCCACGATCTGTAGTCTTTGTTCGCGCCGGCCTTCCTCAATCGCGAGTAGACCTATCTTCAGTTTCGAAGAGTAGTGCTGAATATGCTGCTGTATCTGTTAGATACAAAAACGTGGACTTCACAGTCGTTTCAGTGTATGTCCCTCCAAATTGCAAATGGGATGTCGGAGAGCTTTCCGATGTAAAGCAGAGAAGCAGAGGCCATCTTATACTCTGTGGAGATTTCAACGCCCACAACAAGATATGGGGTGACCGCAAAAATACAAGAAGAGGATTTGATCTTGATAGTAATGACATCTTCACTTCATTATAAGTGACTAGAGCTCTGTCGCTGCCCTACGCACAAGCCGCTTAGGCTTATGTGGGGTATGAATCTCTGTAAAATTGTATGTGGAAAAGATGAAATAAAGATTATTATTATTATTATTATTATTATTATTATTATTATTATTTAGAGGCCCTTAATGACGGTGCGGAAACGTTCATCAGACCTGGAGTTGGCCGCAGTGTATTAGACCTAACGTTCCTGTCCCCGGATATATTGGCAGATTGGAATGCGCTAGCCGATTCCTGGGGCAGTGATCATATACCGATCATGATTACCAGCAAGTTTGCCAAAAAGACAAACAAAACTTACAGAGAGGTTCGAGTTACCAACTGGGATGTATTCCGATCTCACATGGACTTCGCTCTAGCTGGCAGCACGACAGAAGACACAACAGCCATGATTGCACGAGCCATTCAGCTGTCAACAAAGACCATTAGAGTACCATACACCCGGCCTGTTCCCGACCTCATGTACCTAAACCTAAGGGCTGCTCGACGCCGCGCACAGCGACGAGCCCGAAAAACAGATGATCTGGATGATTGGAATGAACATCGCAAGATCGATGCTAAATTTCGCCGATATACTAAGCGCTTCCAACGCCTACAGTGGAACCAACTATGTGAGTCGTTTGGTTCCCCATCAGGTATTTCGAGAGCATGGAGGATCGTCAGAGTCTTGAAGTATAAAAAGCAACCCGAGCATCCCGTTGCAGGATTAGCGCTAGCCCTAGGCCGTACGACTCAAGAAACCGCGGAGCTTCTTGCTGATCCGTTCGCTGCCCCAATTCCGCCACCACAGGGATACAGGGACAAGCCTCCAGTTCCATTGAAAACAAATCCTTGCTCAGAAATGGACGCTGACTTCACCATCACTGAACTTGATGTTGCCCTCCGACGCTCGCGCCGTCAAATCGCTCCGGGACCGGACGGCGTAACGTTTCAAGCACTGAGAAATCTTTCTTTCCCGCATAGAGAGGCCTTACTGGAGTCTATCAACAACATATGGAGAACGGCAAAAATCCCTGCAGCATGGCTCACCTCTGTAGTGGTTCCTATCAGAAAGCAAGGAAAACCCGGTGACCGGATTGAATCCTACCGGCCAATTTCTGTCACCAGTTGTGTCGGGAAATTAATGGAAAGACTAGTACTTTCAAGACTTACGTGGCTGCTTGAATCCAAAGGAGCACTGCCAGATCAACTTTGCGGATTCCGACGAAGGAGGTGCACCTTTGACGCCATTGCTGATCTCGTTTCGAGCCTTGAAAATGCACGTTCAACTCACCAAACAGTCTACTGCATATTTTTGGACATATGCACAGCTTTCGATGCCTTGCCACACCATACTATTCTGCGTCAACTTACACGGTACGGAATTGGTGGAAGAACATATGACTATATCGCCGCGTTCCTCACTGGCCGCAGCCTAACAGTAAGAGCTGCCGAATGTCTAAGCACTCGTCGGTCGGTGACCCAAGGCGTTCCCCAAGGAAGTGTACTGAGCCCGTTTCTGTTTAACCTTACCATGGCAGAACTTCCGCTATGCATAAACTCCGCAGAAACGTCCAGTACAACAGTTCACATGACGATATACGCCGATGATGTGGCAATTTGGTGTGTCGGTCCATCCAGACTGTCAAGGACCATCGGCAAAAGGCTTCGGAAAGTTCTTGACAGCACGACTTCTACTCTAGAAGAACTAGGACTTACTTTATCTACAAGCAAAACAGCCTTCCTTTGTTACCGCCCTGGTCGACATCCAAACCGCAAAGTTGCAAATACGCCAACCATCAAAGGAATACCGATCCAAAGAGTCTCAACGTACCGATACTTGGGGATGGAAATAGATGACCACGTTACATGAAGACCCGAGATAAAACGACTTGTAACGCAGTGCACTAAATTATTAACTGTGCTCCGTCACTTCCATTGCCTGAAATCTGGACTGCCTCCTCAGGGACTTCTGATTCTCTATCGTGGCATTATCCTCTCAAGAATGTTATACAGCCTACCTCTCATCACAATCAGGGCTCATCAAATGACCAAACTCGAACGTTTTCACCGTATTGCCCTCCGTCAGTGCCTTGGACTGCCACGCTTCGCGGGCAATACGGCGACACTCGTAGAGGCCAAGGATCAAACAGTAGCTATGCACATAAGAATAAGAGCAATGAATCATATCACTCGTATGTATGGAGCACGATCTGCGACATCACTGCTGTCCAACATTGAAGAGCGTTTTGATTCGCAGATAGGTCGATGTGTACAAGAATTTAACTTACAAATTGGACCTCCTAATTGCCATCACTTTCCTCCGGCACCTTTCATAACCCAACCGCCGTACATTGTAGAAGAAACGCTTCCTTATTTCCCGAAGAAGAATTCTATCTCGGCCACTGTCGGAAGGTCGCTTGCAGCTGACCAACTGACAAGCACGTACAATGGTTGGCTCCAAGTTTTTACTGACGGGTCAACGAATCCCACAACTGCAACATCTACAGCGGCATTCGTCCTTCCCGATGCCGGAATCGAAGCATCACACCGCCTCAACTTCGCAACCACGTCAACGACAGCGGAGCTGGCTGCACTAGCAGCGGCATTAGATGGGCTTCACAACCTCAATCCTTGCAAGACTGTTATTCTCTCCGACTCTCGAAGTGCGTTATCCAATTTGGAAGCTTCAGACCAAGCTCCTTTTCTGGCCCAATGTGTGGCCGACAAGGCCCGAAAACTTTGCATACGAGGGTGGCAGTTGGCTTTTCAATGGATTCTGTCACATATGGGTATCCCCGGCAACGAACGCGCCGATGCCCTTGCTTCAAAGGCACACAAGAAAGAACAACCCAGTCTTTTCATCCCACGTTATTGCGAAGCGCGCAGACTGTGCAAATTAATTACCCCAATGCGTCACCCCCATACAGAAGTTGCAAGCGGAAATCCTCCTCCATCGCTCCCCGAGTCAAATTTACCAGATCAGATTCCACGCTGCTCCATCGCCTTCGTGCAAACTGCGCCTAAACATCAACGACACTTCACAAGATCTCCAGGTCTAGTACACCCAACTGTGCCAAATGCAATGTCCCAGAGGACCTTGACAACGTCCTCCTAAATTGTTCTCACTACGATCAAGCTCGACGGTCCTTTTTTACCACCATCCTAAGTGCCAGCACAACTGTGACTCAAAAGAACGATGTTCTTTTTCCTACCGGAGGTCGACGAAGAAGAGAACTTGTTTATAAATCTCTTCTTGAGTACCTCAAAGCCACTGGACTTGCAACGCACCTCTAGCCCACCGGTCCGCCACCTAGACCAGCCACGCCTTCTCGTCTCAACTGCCATAGACTAATCTGTGATCTCCATACCAGAAGACAGTTCCGCAGTGCCCCCCCTCCCTCGAGAAAATAGCCTCCTGATGCGACCCTACCCATCCAGAGATTGGTGACCAAATCCCCCCCCCAACCCCTCTTCTCTTCTTTTCTCACCCTCTTTCCCCGCCTGTGCGAGTCTTGCCCCTGCCCAAGGAGGCTAACATTACGTGCAGGCATCCCCTCTTCCCGTGTGTAACAACGCTCAACAACAACAACAACAACCAAAACTGTACATTTCACAAGCAATCAGATACCCCTGACTTAATATACCACCTTGAAGATAAGGCCTCGGATAAGGCCTCGGATAAGATAACGTCTCGCAGCGTCTCGCAACAAGCGCAACGCTTGCACGAGGCGGCTCCAGACTCTCGTTGAGCTTCAGCGTTTTTGGCGCTTGGGGACGGATCGGGCATGCAATGACAGTGACGTCATGCGGAGGCCTTGTCTTCTCGGGAGCATCGCCTAAACACGCTCTGATACTTGAAACGAGATTTTTGACCACAGTGTGCTTTTAGGAAAAGAACAAAAAAACAAGAACAAAAAACAATCTGCTACCCGAAGAAGTTGCGCTCCTGGTTCGGATGAGTCATGATCCTGGCGGTCTTGAACTCGACGTAAGCGGCAGTGGACCCAGGCTCTTGTGACACGTCGTTGTCAATGGCGTCCACTTCGGCGGTGAAGAGTGTGGGAACCATTGGGTTCCCGCTATCCCTATCTAGGCCTAGCTTCAAGCAGGCCGTGGGAGTCGTCGTCACCAATGGCGTCGGCCTCCCGGATACAAGGAACCACGAGGCCGAATTCCCCGAAGGGGCCGGTTCTCCCTTGCCCTTTTGGGTGAACGCGCCATCGGCACACCCTTGGGAGTGATTATGGACGCGTCCCGTTTTCGAGTGACCTTCTACCGGCCTCCCCGGGCGCGTCTATTTCCCGCAGGCTACATAAGCCGGCCACCCACCTGTGGCCGGGGCTCTTGGTTAGGGGGGGCTACGCTCGACGGAGCATTCATCGTTGTTTTCCTGCTCCCCCTTTTTCCGTGATCCTGCCAGTTCCGGCAGCGCGGACCCTTCTCCTGGTGATCCTGTCAATTAAGGCAGCGCCAACCTCATTTCTCTTTTGTTCCGCCTACGGGCGTAAAGCGTGTGGCGTAAGGCCAATAAACACGTTTCTACGGTATCCCTGTGTTTGGTGTGGTCTCCCGTCCACCGGAGCCTAGCGGCAACCAACGGACGGACCCGGCCGTAGCCGCCATAGCAGCGGACTGCGGAGTGGGTTTTGCCTCACAGCGATCAGCAAGGTAAGTCGAAACCCACCTTTTGCAACCGACGAGTTACGGAGTGGGTATTTGCCTCACTGAGGACTTTGGGGTAAACTAGAATCCCACATCTGGCGCCCCAACGTGGGGCCCGTCCGGCGTCTGCAAACAAAGCAGCACGTTCGCAATGACAGCGAACCAGGCCAATTTCCGGCCTTGGACTTCGTGGACGGAGGGAGAGGCGAACGCCCGAAACCCGACGCCACCCAACGGCTTAGTGGCCACGTCAGCCACGCACGGACACAATGCAGTGCCTTTTGAGCCGAGCTTGCTCCTAAGCGGAGGCGACCCAACATGTCCGGCATGCGCCCGGGGCATCCCCCTCCGCGACACGCCAGCCCCCTCTGCTGAGCGAAGCGCACCTGCGCTTGTCGAGGTCAACACCGCGCTCGCACAAAGCGCGGCGACGCAAAAACAGGCAAATACAGCCTCGTACTGCGATGATCTCCTGACCCCAGACTGGCCTGCAGCTTCCCCACAAACGGAAGACACTGCCGCCGTCTGTGAGCAATGGCCCAACTCAGCGGCTTTATGCGCAACAGGACACACGGCGGCACGCGGCGGCACACAGCCAGTGTACAGCTTGCCAGCCGAAAGCGTATCTCATCAAAGAGAAAATGCGCTAAACTCGTACCAGCCACTGCTAGATAACGCAGCACGAGTTATCGAGAGTTTGACGGGAGCGCTGCAAACAGCGACGAGGCCCCCGCCGCCCACGCGGCCACCGGTCAGAATTCCTATCCCGACATACCGAGGATATGGAGACCGAATGAGCGCCACGGACTTCCTCGAGGACCTGAAAAGTTATCAAAAGGCCATGGGAATGTCGGACAACGAGATACTGGAACGCATCCTGCCAATCTCGTTGGTGGACCAAGCAGCGCGATGGTTCCGTCTAACCGGAAACCAGCTGCTGACTATCGAGCAGTTCCGAAAGGCTTTTCGCCAGGAATTCCTCCCCGCTGACTACGAGCGCAGGATGAGGAGAGAGCTCGAGCAACGGACCCAGCACCCAGACGAGTCACTGTTGGAGTTCGTAAGGGCGATGCAAGAGCTCTTCGAGCTAGCAGAACCCTCCGCGCCACATGCAGAGCGGGTAGAGCGCGTCATTCGACAGGCGCACCCGACTTTTGCGGCGTACCTCCGAGGCAGTCGCTTCCGCGACCTGAACGAACTAGCCTCGGAAGCTCGGCGGATCCAGGGAGACATTCTAGCCGCCCGAGCGTACCGACCTCCGCCGCCTGCGTCATCGGCACTTGAGCCGCGCTGCGCATGGAACGGGGAGACGGCGCCCCGAAACAGGAGGCACGAAGCCGCCCACTACGCCGACGGACCGGGTCGAAACACGTACGACATCTCCGATCGTGCGCTCGACCCATACTCTTACGAGAGGCGAACAGCAGAACCCGCGCCGGAGTGGCAAAGGCGAGATCGGAACAGACAAGAGTTACCGACGCCCCGGGAGGAAACGCGGCCAATGCGTCCAAATGCACAGGACGAAAGGTCCGGCGCGCAGCAGAACGTGCGACGCGACTCGAGAAGGGTTGCGCAACCACGCTGCTTTCGCTGCAACAGCGCCGACCACCTGGTTCGACAATGCCCAGAACGGCAGAACCCCGGTTTCCAACAGTCGGGAAACGAGCAAGGCCGCCGATAACCAACCCGGTGGCTCAAAACGGCACGGAGCAAGATACTCTTTTGCCGTCCGCCTACAGAATAGGCTTTCCGACAGGCACGCCAACGCCATTCATAGCGTTGACGATCGTTGGTCGGACGTTCAAGGCGCTGCTCGACACGGGCGCAAGCGCATCGCTTTTCGGTGACGAAGTGTTGACCCACCTCCGGCAAAACTCTGTCCGAATGAGGGAGGGAAGCACGACCTTTCGACTCGCGTGCGGCACCGCACATTCGAGCGGTACCGTCCGGTTGGTTGCGAGATGGGAGAATCGAGCAAGACGGCAACGCTTCGTTCATCTTCCCAGTCTTTCCGTTCCGATCATCCTGGGCAGAGATTTTCTCGCCAAAACAGGGATCGTGATCGACGTGAGTAGCGGTGGCTACCGAGAGGGCACATTCGCACCTCTGAAACCCTTCTGCGAACCCCCAACCCCAGAAAAACCGCTGGTTACTGGGGCAGGCAGCAGCAGCCGAAACGAGGCAACAGCCTCCCAAGGTCAACCTTCTCCGACGGGGTTGCAAGCGAGCGCCGTAGCGTCGGAGATAACGCACCCCCTGCTGACTGAGTCATGCAGCGTGTCAGGGCAAGAAAAAGCCCGTCTGTCGGCATTGTTACGACATTATGACAAGATGTTCACAGATCGACCCGGGTGCACCAATGTAGTGCGACACCGGATCGACACGGGCGATGCGCTCCCTCGGAGGCAAAACGCACGACCCGTTAGTTTGGCTAAACGAAAAGCCATTGACGTTGCACTGGACGAAATGATCGACACCGGAGTTGTCCGGCGGTCAAACAGTCCCTGGGGATTCCCCGTCGTGTTGGTCCCAAAGAAGGACGGCACTTCACGTCTATGCATCGACTATCGCCGTCTAAATGACGTCACGCGGAAAGACGCATATCCGCTACCGAGCATTGACTCGATCCTGTCCAACCTCGGCAGCGCACGGTATTTTACAACCTTAGACGCCAGCCGAGGCTACCTCCAAGTTCAAATGGAGAGGGGTGACGAGGCGAAAACGGCCTTTGTTTGTCACCGCGGGCTTTTCGAATTCACAAGAATGCCCTTCGGTCTGTGCGGAGCGCCCATGACGTTCCAGCGGTTGATCGACCGCATACTGGGAGAAGCCAAATGGAAACATGCAATGGCCTATCTCGACGACATTGTCGTCTACTCGAACACCTTCGAAGATCATCTCAGAGACCTGAAGGATGTGTTCGACCGGCTAAAAGCCGCGGGAATCACGCTGAACCCGGAAAAGGCTCAAATAGCCGAAACCCGAATCAACTTGCTCGGCTTCACACTCGATTGCGGACGCATTGCGCCAAACGCCGAGAAGCTAGAAGCTATCCGGGAGTTCCCCGCACCAACGGACGTAAGCTCACTCCGTCGCTATTTGGGAATGGTGAATTTTTATCGCCAATTCATCCCGAACTGCGCCTCCCTCCAAGCGCCACTAACGCGGCTACTCAGAAAAGCCGTGAGCTGGAGTTGGGGTCCCGAGCAGGAGGCAGCTTTCCGCTGCACTTCGAAAGCACTCGCGGACACCGCGGAACTAAAGCTTCCCGACTTGAACAAGCCTTTCGTGATCCAAACGGACGCGAGCAAACTGGGCTTGGGAGCGGTCCTGCTCCAAGAGCACGAAGGTGTGCTTCGTCCCGTGGCTTTCGCTAGCCGCTCGCTTGTGCCGGCAGAGGTGAACTACAGCACCTGCGAACAAGAGTGCTTGGCTATTGTATTTGCCTTAAAGCGCTTCGACATTTATGTCGACGGTACCACATTCACGATCGAAACAGATCACCAGAGCCTAATCTGGCTGTCAAGACTTCGCGAACCCGCAGGACGGTTGGCGAGATGGGCTTTGCTACTGCAAAAATACAACTATGTCGTGCGGTACCGGAAAGGCAGCACAAACGTTGTGGCCGACGCACTGTCGCGAGCCCCCGTAGACTGCGCAAATCTTTTCGCGGGGAGCCTGGCCGAGCCAACGGCACATGCAATGCCCGGCGAAGCCGAAATTCAGTCCCAAAAGGAGGCAGCACCACTGACCTCCTCGGACGAGAGCGTGAACCACGTAGACGCAGTGAGCGCAGTGGGGATCGTGTTCAGCAAAGAAGAGCTACTGAAAGCTCAGCAGAATGATCCGTTTTGTCGAAAGGTGATCGACGGACTCTCGAGTGAGTCGGACTCCGTGGAGTCGGGCGGTGCGTCCGCCGGGCGTACGACTGCTGGTATTGCAGTAAACGCCGAGTGTCGGGATGTATCTGGTACTGGTACTGACACGCTGGATCAATTTCTGCTGAACGCCGATGGGCTCCTGCTGAAGTATATCCCATCTGAGAAGGACACAGATAATGTGTTCAAGGTGGTAGTGCCAAAAAGTCTGAGGTGCGCAGTAATGCGTTACTATCACGACTCGCACTTGGCCGGACATGCGAGCGGCTCCAAGACTTACACAAAGTTATGTCACATCGCAACCTGGCCGGGCATGAAAAGGGACGTATTCCGCTACGCCCGCACGTGCCACACTTGCCAAAGCTTCAAACCAAGAGGCGGCAAACCTCCGGGCCTAATGCAGCCGACCCACAGCCAAGAACCATGGTCTTTGGCAGCTTGCGACGTGGTCGGCCCTTTGCCGAGGAGCCCCAAAGGACACCAATATTTGTTGGTTGTCACGGACCACTTCAGCAAATGGGTAGAACTTTTCCCACTACGAAAGCTGACAGCCCGAGCGATCATGGAGAAGCTCATGGAGGTATTCACCCGATGCGGGTTCCCGGAAGCTCTCCTAACAGATCGAGCAAGCTACTTCGTCGGGAAGGTATTTGTGGACGCTTGCAAAGCCCTGGGCATCAAGCACAAAACAACCACACCCTACCACCCGCAGGCGAACATCACGGAGCGATGTAACAGAAACATCAAACCCATGCTGGCAGCATTTGCCGAAAAGCACCGCGACTGGGACGCATACATTCCTGAAATTGGGTTTGCTCTCCGTTCCACTGTCAATCGTTCGACAGGCTTCACCCCCGCCTTCCTCACATTCGGAAGAGAGTTGGCGAATCCCATGGACCGTGTCCTAAGGGCGAACGCCGGGGCAAACGATGCGCAGTCGACACAGACTGAACACGCGCGCTCGCTACAAACTCGGATGACGGAAGCCTTCTCGGAGGCCCGTCACAATCTCGGGGTAGCGCGAGCTAAACAAAAGGCTCAGTACGATCGCTCTCGCCGAGATCTCCGCTACAAAGTAGGCGATCTCGTGCTCAGACGAAACCACGTTTTGAGCGATGCCAGCAAAGGCTTTTCTGCTTCGCTGGCACCAAAGTGGCTGGGCCCGTACGAAGTGCGAGAAATACTTTCACCGCTTGTGTACAAGCTGACTGACCAAGAGTCACGAAAAGTCGGAGGGCCAGTGCATATTTGCGATCTCAAACCCTACCACAGAAGGGAAAACGAGGAGCAAAACCCAAAGCCACTCTTGCGCAAGAATGCACGCGAAACGCGAGACGACGCCAAAAACGAGGCGCCCCGCTACAATCTGCGAACTCGGAGAAACTAATATCCGGAGTTTGGCAAAGGCAGTCCCAATAAGTGGCGAAATGTCACACTAAGGGAAGTGCAAGGGCAAAGAATGCACCAGCTGCCTTCGCGAACGCGTCAGCCACCATTGTTGGCAAACCGTGACCTAAATACAAGGCCACCTCAACGTTCGCTTCCGGATCATCCCGTACGGGGATTCCCCTACATACGGCATCTGAGGGAAAGGGTAGGCGTAACGCCCATTGGTCAGTTACTGCCGCCCAGGCTCACGTGTGTCACTACGTCATCGTAGGGGCACGGCGAGAGCAGTCGTCACAAGCGGTGAGACCGTGATGTCATTCTGCCGCAGTACGACTCCACAGTAACATCCACGAAGAGGATCTCCAGCCAGGACGGTGCTTCGGGCCGTTCGGGGGCTGCACCAGCCTGTTTCCTGGCTCCGGAGTTTTCGACGGCGTTCTTGGTCCACGGGTGCTGGCGATTCTTCGAGCAGCCCCGCGACGCCAGCGGACCAGGGGACCAAACCAGCGGCCCGCCGGCTACGCGCGCCACCGGGACCGACAGCTGCGCGGGGTCCTGCCCGCCCTTCGACTTCGGGACCCGCGCGGCGACGGGCAACACTCTGTCCAGGGGCCGGCTGTTCCCGTCCAAAGGGCTCCACGAACCACCTCCACGACGGTGAGCGAACGCCGGGAACGTCGCAGCGCACCGTATTTGTGAACCCCGGCATGTGGGGGTAGGCACCGGACGCGGTCGTTTTTTTTTAGTTCTTTTTGTTTTTAAGAGCCGGTAGGACATTTTATTTTATTCAAGTCCTACCTAAGCCTTAAGAAGGGGGGAGTGTGGGAACCATTGGGTTCCCGCTATCCCTATCTAGGCCTAGCTTCAAGCAGGCCGTGGGAGTCGTCGTCACCAATGGCGTCGGCCTCCCGGATACAAGGAACCACGAGGCCGAATTCCCCGAAGGGGCCGGTTCTCCCTTGCCCTTTTGGGTGAACGCGCCATCGGCACACCCTTGGGAGTGATTATGGACGCGTCCCGTTTTCGAGTGACCTTCTACCGGCCTCCCCGGGCGCGTCTATTTCCCGCAGGCTACATAAGCCGGCCACCCACCTGTGGCCGGGGCTCTTGGTTAGGGGGGGCTACGCTCGACGGAGCATTCATCGTTGTTTTCCTGCTCCCCCTTTTTCCGTGATCCTGCCAGTTCCGGCAGCGCGGACCCTTCTCCTGGTGATCCTGTCAATTAAGGCAGCGCCAACCTCATTTCTCTTTTGTTCCGCCTACGGGCGTAAAGCGTGTGGCGTAAGGCCAATAAACACGTTTCTACGGTATCCCTGTGTTTGGTGTGGTCTCCCGTCCACCGGAGCCTAGCGGCAACCAACGGACGGACCCGGCCGTAGCCGCCATAGCAGCGGACTGCGGAGTGGGTTTTGCCTCACAGCGATCAGCAAGGTAAGTCGAAACCCACCTTTTGCAACCGACGAGTTACGGAGTGGATATTTGCCTCACTGAGGACTTTGGGGTAAACTAGAATCCCACAAGAGGAGCGAGTGGGACCCAAGCCTTCCTTTCAGCACCACGTAGAACTGGTCGCCGCTGCGCAGGGGGGCGCTGGTGTCGGGAAGCGCCCCTGGCCGATCTGTCCACAACGTAAAGTCAAAATAAATTTTAGTCTTTAGTTTTTTAAATTGGATTTTGACGGGCCGTCCAACAAAAGGCCAGCAAATTGTAAATTGATTTGGGTCTCGAGCCCTACAACTAAAAAAAGAGAAGTCTAAAAGTAAAAAATTATTAACGTCCACGCGTTTAGAAAGCGTGAACAGAAAATTCGAATCTTATACGTTCGCTACATAGAACTTCCGCGAACTATTCCTTACTTACTTAGACAGGTGCCTTGAGCACTGACCTAAAGTAAAATGGACAAAGCGGAGAAGACTACTCTAAAACAGAATTTAAACACAAAGGAGCATTTACGAAAGTATAGTTTAAACTAAGTATAAGTAAATCCGTGCCTTTTCAAAAGTAAAGGTCTTGATTGCTTATACAGTGCTTGTTAGCAAATAGGGTAAGTTATGATGCAGTGATAGCAGAGAACGGTTTGTGCGAATATGGAAAATACTTTATACTTCTGAGAGTTATATATTGAAATGTTATTCCTATTCAATTCAATGTGCGTCATCTAAATTCAATCACTTCGGTTAATGACAAACTAAAAGGTTACGGAAGACAGTACGCGTGCATAGCTTAGACGCCAATAGTCTCGACTATTTTCAAGAGAGGCTGAGTGTGACTTGCACAATGCATATTTGCAAATATCCAATACCTTTTCTTTCGCAGGAAGGAAGAACGCTTGGTTTTATTAAAACAATATTACACCTCACACGAAATGACAGAATTTGATGATAAACCGGAAACGTGAATTATGAATAGGGAGTTTTTTTACATTAACAAATATTACCTAGGGGAATCTTCTAATTTTACTCACAAATCTCTGCATATCTTGGTAATTAGATGGTTGATATGCTGATACCACGAAAAAATAAAATTAAAATATACCTAACTCACTCTGCTCTTTTATCTATGGGTTTGTCTTTTTATGGTCTATCGTCTTTATATTTTATTTATATTCACGTTTTGTTTTAATATTTTATTTATGTTACCTTTTATCGTATAATTTTATTTATATTTATGATTCATTGTATTTATATTTTAAATATATATATTCAAGCATTGGTAGTTATTATTAAATAAATGAGTTTGTAATAATCGAAACATAAGTGCCTCAATTTTGTTACGGTTATTTTAAGACGCTTGACCTCGTATCTCATAGTATACCTGAAGCTGGGTTAGTATATTGATCCCCTCATCAATAAAGCTGCCTTCATCGGAGTCGGAAAGAGAAACGCTGGCGTCATTCACATATCAGTGGGGACCATTGAAGCGCACGAAGCGCACAGTTTCCAGAAGTCGCTGATAACTTTTGAAATAACTAACGACACCACCTGAAAGTCTTGGGTCTGTTCCGGATGTCTATAGTGCTATAGTGCTACGTTTGGGAGGAGATTGAGTGTTCGTCGCTGCGCGCAGTTTATTTTTAAGGGGAAGAAAAATCTAATTTTCTCGCAGATAGCTTTTATCATTCGAGACTACCTGAGATAACTTCAGGAAACCAGTACGCTTAAGTGAATCACTATTCAAAGCTCCAAATAAGTACAGTACTTTGCCGTTTTCGTCTTTTGTTATCATGCGGTCTTCTAAAATTTTGGTTGAATTCAACGTGCTATTTTACTGGCAAGTGCTGATTTAATAACCGGAACAGCGGGATGGTTTGTGTCTGAACTGCACCGCAAAAGTCGGTTTCGAGCATGTTCTCGCGGGAACCGGGAACATCGAACAAAGCAGTCACAGTGCCCGTCGTCTCCGAAGTCATGAAGGCAGCATTTAAGGAACGTTCGTTCTGATCTGTTTGTGATACATTAAACAGTTGTTTTGGGAGGGAAAAAGAACGTACAATTCCCCCAATATCGCGGCATAATTTAGCAAAGAATCGAAATTCGCGTATAGGTCACGTCAAATCAATTTCTCCCGCTAAATTCAGCGGGGGAACGGAATCGGTGTTTAAGTCACGTGACGTCGATTTCCGCTCTAAATTTAGTGCAAAAAATGAATTGGTGGGCAGTTCACTTCACATCAATTTTCCCGCTAAATTTAGCGGTGAAAAGCATAGACAGACGGTCTAACGGAGGGAAAGACGGACACACGGACATATTTCTAGGGATAGAGGTTTCCGTTAAATGCATTCCGTGTTTTTTTTTTTGTTTTTTTTTTAAAAAGAGCATTTACTTGATGTCATGTACTGCTCGAACTTGTGGCCCCAAAAGTACATCTGCTTCGCCAGCTTAGGATTCTGCGACTCCCAAGGAGATTCGCTCTCGAACTTGCACAAGTACAGGGTGTTCTTATAACGTGTGGCGGAAAACAGCCAGTCGTCGCGTTTGCGGTACGGTGTACAGGCCAACGTAGAGAGCAGGCCTCGCTTGCACACGAAGTTCACTCCCAGGCTCCTTCTGCAAGTACCAGACAGAGATGCAGTCAGAAACATCAATGTGCAGCGGTCATTGTAACCATAAGTTATTCTAGTGTACGCTAGAGGTCCAGTTGGCGCTAGTGCGCTGTTGGAAATTGAAGCAGACAGCAACCCGTCGAAAATTGACTTTCGGTAATGCATCTTATGATAAAAATTTGGTTTTTTTTTCTCCACGCTTGATTATAAGATCAGGTATTACAAATAATTCTTACGTAAAAAAAAAGAAGAAACTAGGCACATTTTTTGTTACATAAACGAAAACTTTGGTCAGCTACCATGCTTTTCTTTTAAATTGGTGTAATTAAACATGGTCGTTAAAGCTTTTTACATGCGTTTATGGGCATTGTTGGATACTTTTAGCGAGGACACGGTGTGGGCGATTTGTTTTCAGGGGGGATTTACGTTTCAGAAGAACGAATGGCATTTGAAATCAAAAGAGACCTCGAGAACTACACAGTAACACAGAATTAGTAACACCATGTGCATGGGGATGTTCAAAATAAAGCGAAAGACAAGTAATTATAGACCGATTTGCAGTAAATGAGTTGCCATTTATTTTTTCTACTCACCCATATGTCCGAATACTCAGTTTTAATACATTATCGATCCGCACGTTCGAAAATTTTATAAATAGGGAGAAAGCAGCAAACAGGTGCCCGATAAAAGCTGGCCGCAAATGAAATAGTATCATGAGGTACCTTTTAAAGCACATATACTTTATTCTTTACCCCGCTTGGTTGTTTTTAACAGCTACGGGGTCATCTACATATAGTGTCAGGGCTGCCATCTTAGCAATTATATTAGCGTTATCGGAATGCTGGCTCATCTTGTGCACACTCAACACTCGGCGTCAACTATTTTGCGCTCCGTCGTCAAGGCCGGCATCCCTAAAGTCACTGGATCCTGGGAAAGTAGCGACAAGCTCCACGTATGGTCGCCATTTTGGTCTGTGAAATGAGCAATTTCTCTTTGACCCCTCCGTTCTTGGTGAGGCGACCTAAATTCGCAGGTGACGGGTAGCTTTATGAAGGCGTTTCTTGTATAGCGAGATTTTGCTATCCACAGACCGGCGAAACAAGCGTACATCTTCGGACTACCACCACATGCTCTGTCGGTTATTGAAGGCATTGAAAAATAAGTTTACTGTATTGAAATACGCAAGAACAACATGATTATAAGAGATCCGTGGAGATGGGCAGGATTGATAAGTTGATTCCATACACAATGCCTAAGACGCTTATAGTGGTGAGGAACGCTTCCAGTATGATGATGCTCCAAGGTGATCTTGGCGCGATTGGTTTAGAACGACCCTCTGGAAGCTTCGAAGATTTTAATGGACCGAGATGGCAATTTCCATGGCAACGTAGACAGATTCTATCTGTCCTCGGTCCAAAGTTCTTTTCGTCTACAACCCTGGACCGGTCATCTCTGGCCGGGGTTGCTTCAGGTGCGTCATGCACCCAGCGTCCCCTCCCCAGCCAACGAGGGCTCTGACCTTCGACGTCTCCTGCCCGCCGGGCGCGTCTGTGGATTCCATCTTCGACGCGGCCACGGCAATTGTCGGCACTGCCGAATTGTTTTCTGTACAACACCTGGGAGCAAACAACTTCCAATTGTCCGTCACCTCGTCGTCGGCCATGAGCCGCGTCGTCAACGCCGGCGCCCTGAGCATCGGTGGAACCCTTGTTACAATCGTCCCCGTCGGACCGCAAGTAACAGCCATAACGTGCCTCTTTTTGCCGGTCTACGTCAAGAGCGAAGCACTCGCCGCTGCCCTCGCACCTTACGATAAGGACCTGGACATCCGCTTCGGTGTGTACCAAGACCACCCTAGCCTGCGGACGGGCACGCGCTACATACGAATGGAGATGAAAGAGTCGACGCCTGTCCCGAATTTCCTCCGCGTCTCCGGCCACCGGGCAACCTTTGACTACCGCGGCCTCCGACGAGTATGCCGACGGTGCCAGCGGGAGGGCCACATCAAGGCGGCCTGCAATGTGCCCTACTGCACCCGCTGCGCCGCTTTCGGCCACGACTCCGCCGGATGCGCGGCCGGTTGCGGACGTTGCGGGGCGGCCCACGCAACGGTGGACCGCACCCAACGTCGCACCTACTCGTCCGTGCCCGGCCAGAGCCTGGACGAGTTCCCGGCCATGGCATCGACCCCTCGTTATGGACCCCCTGCCATCCCTTCACCTGCAGCGTCGAACGCACCCGCCCCGACACCCACCGTCGGCCCCACCGAGTCTACCGTTCCCTCCACCTCCAAGTCCACCGAGACAACCTCGCCTGAGATTGATGTGACGACACCGCAGCCAACGCCAGCTACCGCCATGGCCACGGGTGGAGACTCCAATGCACCAGCAGCCATGCTTTCGAACGCGCCGGCAACCACATTTTTGAACAACGCCAAGAACAGCGTTCCACTCCCCTCGAGCTCCCGCTCCGATGAAGCGCCGATACAACTTGAGTCCCCGACTGCGCCGGAATTTCAGACCAGCCCGAGCCTCAACTGGAGCGACCTCACGGAGGGCTCGGACGAGGAACGCCTCGTCATCCACGAGACCGCTGGGGACGCCGCCAAAGGAGTGGAAACCCGCTCAAGACGGCGTTACCGAGAACGACGCCGCAACGCATGCCTGGAACCGCGGAGACTTCCCAGCCGCAGTCGCAGCCGACACGGTGGTGCTGAGGAGGAGAAACGTGTCCTTTCCAGCAGCGACGAGTTCGCGACCCCGCAAGGCATCCCGCCCGCCGCAGCTCGCCTCAAGCGCTTGCGGAACGACTTCTCTTCTCCCACTGGAAGTCCCAGCAGCCAGCCATCGTCCGAAACACCCTCGGATTATCGAAGAGCCGGTGACTCCTTTTCCTCCTCTTCGCAGGGCTACGGGTCCTCACCCTGAATGTCCAGGGGTTCCGCAGTTCGACCAAACAAGTTGAGGTTCTCCAGCTTGCCCGGACTGTCGGTTGCGACCTCCTCTTTCTCCAAGAGACAAAATTTGTCAGACAACGCGACGTCACCCTCTTCAAGCAACGTTATGCAGTGGATTATTTTTTTTCTTTTGCTACTACCCGGTTCTCGGGGTAGGAATTATTATTTTTATTCGCGCGCTCATGCGGCAAAGCTCGTGCTGCTTTGACCGCGACGGCCGATTTATCACATTCGATTTTTTCCTGCCGCCCGTTTTCGCACCGTGTGTGTTTACGCCCCGGAACAACCCTCGCACTCCACGGCATTCTACAAGAACTTGGATGTTCACCTTTTCGACGCGCGCCACTGCATGGTACTCGGAGATTTCAACAGCGTCGTCGACTCCCAGCGCGACGTCAGGGGGCCAGGGTATACGGCCGCAGTACATGAAACGCCCGCGAATTGAGACGACTGATTGGACATTTCGACTTGGTGGACTGCTGGACCGTTGTCCACGGTGCCACTTTCGAGCACACCTGGCAACGTGGTAGGTCAAGCAGCCGCCTGGACAGGGTCTACGTCACTGAGACCCTGGCCTCAGCCGTTCAGACTTGTGGGGCTGTGGACTTCCCACCTGCCATCGGTCACATCTCAGACCACCGGCCAGTGCTCGCGGAGCTCTGTCTGGCTCCCTCGACAGGGCACCAACGCTCCTGGCGTTTGAACTCCCACGTCCTGCGGGACCCGAGGAACCGCGACCGCCTGAAGGAAGTTTTGCGCCGGTCTCTCCTTCGAGTGACGCCAGATCCAGCGAACTGGGCCCACCTTCTGGAAACCTGGCGGGTGGCGTTCGTGACGGAGGGCAGTGCCCTGCGCCAGCGGCAAGTTGAAGAGCTCCGCGAAACATCGCTGCGAATCCGGATCGTACGTCGCGGGGGCGCTGGAGCTCCCTTTATGAGTCGCAGCCCCTCGACCGGTACCAACGCCTGCTACGGGCGTCGACGACAGCAGCCAGTTCTTCAGGGGAGGGGCGGACCCTCCTTCCACCCCGAAATGCTTCGCTACACACATCGCACACAGGTAAAGGAGCGGCGAGTCCCGCCCTTTCCAGTTCCTCCATCGACGCCTCCGCCTGGCCAACCTTCTGTCCCAAGCTTCAGCTCCCACTTCGAGGCCCTGGTGACTTCGGAGTCAACGATAGACCGGGTGAGCCTGGCCACGCACCTTTTCTTGCACGACCTCCCCAAAGTTCCACCCACCACTGGCGATCAGTTGTTCAAGCCTCCCAATGCAGAGGAGGTTAACAACGCTTTCCTAAAAATGGAGACTGGATCTGCGCCGGGCCCGGATGGATTCCCGACCGAGTTTTACCGCACATTCTGAGATGTGCTGGGGAGCATGTCTGTGCAGTCCTCCGCACTTTCTTCACGGAGCTCCACCTGCCGGATTCCTTCACTCGGGGCAGGATAATCCTGCTGCCCAAGGAGGGAGGAGACCCCAGCGACCCAAGGGCGTGGCGACCCATCACTTTGCTCAACGCAAGTTACAAGCTGCTCGCTTCGGTGCTTGCACAACGGATGCACGACATCCTTCCGGACATTGCAACAACGCGCCAGACGTGTTCGGTCGCGAGCCGCAGCGTCCACACACTGTTATCACTCACAAGAGACGTGATTCACTACACGAACTCCCGCTGTGCCAGGGGTTTGATCGCCACCCTGGACCAGGCGAAGGCGTTCGACCGGGTTGAGCACCCTTTCCTTTTCGCCACCCTCCGGAGAGTGTCCGCTTCTTCGAGGTCCTGTACGCTGGCATGAAGAGCGATCTGTGCGTGGACGGCAGCGTGGTGGCCAGCTTCCCCGTCACGCGAGACGTACGCCAGGGCTGCCCACTCTCGCACCTCCTCTTCGTCCTGTCGCTCGAGCCGTTCCTCACCCACATCGACCGGTGCTCCCATGGTGCGCGGCCCCCCTCTCTCCGGCAGCGGCGAGGTGAAGGCGACTGCGTACGCCGACGACATCACACTAGGCCTACGTGACGCTGACGACGTTGGCGCGGCGCTTCAGGTC